CTCTTTCCTCTCTGCTTCCCTCTCTCCCTTGGGAAGCAGAAGGCTGGGAAGCTGCCACAGTCCGTGGCTCTGCTCCCTCTCACCCCTCTCTCCATCTGTCCCTCAGGGACGTCTACCGCTGGGACGTGGTGATCGGGGCCACGGATCTGACTCAGCCGGGACCCGAGGCCAAGGTGAGGCACATCCAGAGGATCCTGGTGCACCAGCACTATGTGGCTGCCACGGCAAGGAACGACATTGCCCTGCTGGAGCTGGACCGGCCCGTGGAGTGCAGTGACTACATCCAGCTGGGCTGTGTGCCCGACACCTCGGTGAGGGTCTCTGAGCTGAAATCCTGCTACATCGCGGGATGGAGTTTCGCCACACCAGGAGGTGAGGCCCTACAAGGACATGTACCCTGAGGGTGTGATGGGCACCCCATGGACGTGGGCTGGGCATCCCATGGACGTGGGCTGGGCACCCCAGGGACATGGGCTGGGACCCCATGGACATGGGCTGGGCACAACCACAGTCCAGCTGTGGCTGCAGGACATCAGCAGGGCCAGGTCTCGGAGCAGCCTGGGCTGGGGGAAGGGGTCCCTGCCCAGAGTGGGGGGTGGCACTGGATGAGCTTTAAGGAACCTTCTGCCCAAACCATTCTGTGACTCCCTGAAGACTCTGGAGAGATGGGCCTGGCCCTTTCCCCAGAGCCAACAGCAGGGACACAGGGGGACAGTGTTGCTCCAGGGGCAAAGCCAGTTCTGGGGAAGGGGTCCATCACAAGGCAGGGGAGGGGATGGGTGCTGTGGAATGAGCTGCTGGAGGCTCATTGGCCCTCATCTGGAGGCTCATTCCCCTCTTTTCCTACAACTCCTGGTCCAGATGTGGTGCTGCAGGAGGCCAAGGTCCACCTCATGGACACAGAGCTCTGTAACAGCAGCCGGTGGTATGGGGGGGCCGTGCACCCCGAAAACCTGTGTGCTGGGTACCCGCAGGGCGGCATCGACACCTGCCAGGTGGGAGCGTGGCACCAGTCCCTCAGCCCCCGCCAGCACAGGGACCCCCTGACCCCAAACATGGCACGGGCTGGGCCTGGCCCGGCGCCCTCCCAGCCCCGGGTCCCCATCGCTGCCAGGGCTGCCCTGTCCCATGTCCCCTATCCCAGGGCTGCCCTGTCCCATG